GATTTGGGGTGGGGGTGATAGAGGCAGGTAAGAGTTAATGAGCGGAGATGGGGGCAGGAAGGCTGATTTCAGCCTGGAGAGCAAGGGAAGTCTCACTGAAAACACCAAATCTTTGCCTTTCTTGGGGCCCGGGCCTAGAGCCCACACCTTCCTGGGAAGCTCTGCCTCTCCCTGGAGATGCTGGCAGACCCACACTGAGAGGCAAGGGGACACCCCTCCCCAGCACAGAGCCACCGGGAGAACAGGCCAGCAGCGAGCAGAGCACTAGGGCAGCCACGACGCTGTGCGGTACCGGTACCGAGTCTCCTCTGGCGGTGCTCGGTGCTCGCTCGCTCCTCAACTCTTCCCCCCGCCCTCTGAGACTGCTCTGCCGAGTCCGCTGTTTATGACCAATTTCCGAACACAAACTTTGTTTTCTCTCTCCTGTTTGAAGCTTTCCCTTATAGTCTGGAAGTCGCCCAGTGCAGGTTCTCTTTACGCCCCTTTAAAGGTCCCCTTTGATTATCCTCAGTGAAGTAAGTCAGAAGGAAAAAGAAAAACATCTTGTGGTTTCACTTACAGGAGGAATAGGGAAGTCGAACAAAGGGTCAAAAAAAAAAAAAGACAAAACTTACAAGCAAAACAGATCTGAGGCATACAGCAGGGAGATGGGAGAGGGGTCACACGGGAGGAAACAGCACAAGGGACCAAGGTGACGGTCACGGGTGATGTGGCGGTGGGAGATTTATGGGGACTACACCAAGAGGAAAAATCAAATATTGTACAAAAATGAACAACAATGTGAGCCCTCCCTGGTGGCACGACGGGTTAGTGCGCAGCACTGTGGAGCTCTCCGCGCCACCGCAGTAGTTCGATTCCCTGCTCAGCGGTGACCCACATGGCGCGGCAGAGCTCTCCCGACCCTCCCGCTGCTCCCCTCAGCAGGGTACTTCGTCGATCTGCCTGTTCTGCTCCCCTGTCTGTCTCTGGTGAATCCTCTCAGCCCCTGCACCTCTGGCCTGTACCCCAGCTCTGTGTACATAAATATTTTTAGAAAAAGAAAAAATCTTTCTTTAAAAAAAATGAATAAAAGTTTTAAGTTATCCTTTAAAAAAAATAGAAGGCCCCTTTGCCTCTGAAATGCTGATGTCATCCTGGTTCCCTACTCAGCCCACTTCTCTTTCACTCCAACCACAGTCCCTTAGTGATTTGCCCCTCCTGAACCCCTGAGCTCCAAACCCCAGCTGCTCGGTTCTTAGTGGCATCACTTACTCAAAACGTTCTAAATAGTGCCCGTTTGTGGATTCCTTTAGAAAAGGATCTTGACTAATGCATTACTCCCCAATACCTGGCACCATCTGTAAACCATAAGCACTCAACCCCAAAACTCACAGCTATGGGCCCTGCCATTTAGGGGAGTGCCCACAGTTCCCAGCTGTATGCTCTTCCAAAGCTTCAGCTCTCAGGCAGTGTAAGCAGTGAGGACTTTGAAACTGTAGTGACAGTAGAGGCCTAAAAGCCTAGGCCAAGCAGCCAGTTCTTCCTGGAGCAAAGGAGACTTAGCTGGTCGGGGTGGAGGATGGAGAAGTCTGGCTTTAGTCAGTGGCCATGATCAAGGATGGGGCATAAGGATATTGCACAAAATAAAATCTGGACATCTTAAACATATGAAGAGCCCACAGTCTCTCTCAAGAGAAATCAAAATGAAAAGACTCATATGGGCCCTCCCTGGTGGTGCATAAAGCACAGCACCATGAAGCTACTACAGCCACTGCAGCATGAGTTCAATCCTAGGCCAGGGGTGTGACATAGCATGACAGACCTTTCCTGACCGCCCACTGCTCCCCTCAGCAGAATCTGCTCCCTATTCTGTCTCTGGTAAATCCTCTCACCCCCCGCACCTCTGGCCTGTACCCCAGTTCTGTATGAATAAATAAATCTTTAAAAAAAAAAAAAAGACAAGACACTGATGTACCATTTACCATCTAACTTGCTAACAAAAATCAAAGTCTGTTAACACACATTGCCAAGGTTTGGAGAAACTCATTCCTGGTAGGGCAAAAATTGGTTCAACATCAAGAAAGGACTCAGCAGTTCTGCTTGTAGGAACTTATCCTACAGATGAAGATTCATGTATGCATACGATGATGTGTGCACGTCACTTGGTATACAAGTGCACACTGCTTGTTCTGTGATAGCAGGAGGTTGGGAACTGACCTGAACATACACAGTTCAGGGGACTGGTTAGATCATTATGATATAATGATGTTCTGGGTAGCTAAAAAAATAAGAATACTGTATGAACTGAGATAGAATTATCTTCAAATTTTATCAATTCTACCTTCAAAAATTATCTAGAATCCAACCACTTCTCCACCACTTTGCCAAGGTGTCATCTCCCAGCTGCATTAGCCTCCTCGTGGTGTCTCTGCTACCACCAACTACCCTTTTGCCTATTTCCAAACAGCCAGGTCCTGTGAAAACAGAAAACATGTTATGCTGAGTCCCTGCTCAAACTCGCCCGTGGCTTCCCACTTCAGAATAGAAGCAGGAAGCCCTAGCTAGACCAGTCCTCCTCATTCCTACTCTCACCCTCTTATCTCTGACATTTTCACAGCCATCAGCATCCCTACTTTCCTCCAATACCCCAGGAGTGACACCCCCCCCAGGGCTTTCTCCTTGCTGCGCCCTCCCATTGGGAGGCTCTTCCCCTAAGCCCACACTGCTCCACCCCATTCCTGGGGTGCCTGTTCACTGTCATCTTCTTGTGAAGAACCTCCTTAACCATCCTACAAAAGGTGCACACACACATACTAACTAGTAAATGCGCTGGGCATAAGGGTTTCTCTGCATCATTCAACTTTCCTAAATACCTGAAATTTTTCACAATTGGATGCGTACACACACAATCTATTCCCTTCAAGGGAACACATCTGGAAGATGCACAGGCCATCCACTGCCCCCTGTGCTTACCCATCTGCTGCGTATTTTACTTAGTCCACCCACCCAAGCCATCTTCCAGAAGTCCTAAAGGCAGGGCAGGAATTCTGACCACTGTTCTATCTCCAGACTGTAAGTGCCCCCCACTGTGCCATTAGACTTCTGGCGCAGCTCTGTGTCACGTTCACAGCTGAATGGGGAAAACCGGTTCGAGTGGCATGTCATCCCCACCCACTCTGTACTAACTTTGTAACCTCTTAGGAACTTAAGACTCCAAAATATGTGCATATTAATAAGAAAACTACCTACACAATTGTTACTCAATATTTGGTTATTATGATTCAGTGAAATGGTTTATACTAAGTGATAATACTACCATTTGTGTGAAAGATAAAGGGGTTTTTATTTTTTGTATTTTTTATTTATACATACGAACTGGGGTATATGCAAAAGATGCAGGGGTTTCACAGGAGACAGAGTGGGGAGCAGAATAAGTAGAGCTATTGAATTACACTAAGGTGAGCAGGGGGTGAGACAGGGATCAAACTCAAACCAGGCTGATGATAGCTTATAGTGTTGATGTTAAACCCCTGCATCACCAGGGAGGCCAAATAAAGGGATTTTTGTACCCTTGCTTATATGCACACATTATCTCTGTAAGAATATACAAAAACTAGTAATTCTGGCAGCTGCTGGTAGAAAATCTGGGCGATAGGATTATAGGGACAAGACTTTTCCACAAAACTCTTGTACCTCTGAAGTTTTTAAGTATGCGACTCATCTATTCAGAGCACAATTTAATCTGAAAGATTTCCGGTCTAGCCTTTTTCTTCCTCAATGTCAATTCTACTTATTTCCAGTACCCACAATTCAGGTTCTTCCCATTCTTGAGTTGCAAAACTTCTATTCTGAATTGAAATGAGTCCATTTTGAATTACATCCTGCTCCCTTTAGGGACAGGGCATGAAATTTTAAAGTTTCACACTCCCACTTCATTCTTCAACCTGACCCTTATGGCTTTAATGGTGCTCACCTAGAAAAATCTCACTTAAATCAGAGGGGGGTAGGAATCAGTTCTAAGACGTTTTAGGAATAAGGAAATTGGAGAACCATAGAATGTACATTACTTCTTTGCATTTTATAGTGGAATTGTGATTATGAAGAAAAATAAACGTAGAATTTTATCTGTGTCTGCCCCTTAGTCACAGCTAGTCACATGGCATGTGTGGATGGCAGCAGATGTGGGAACATGTGCACCCCCAAGTACGTGTCCACATACACAGACGGAGGCAAACACGACAGAACGCTGGTAGCGGACACGTCTGCACAAACAGTACGTTTGCTATTCTTCCCGCTTTCCTGCAGGTTTGAGACTTCACTAAACAATTACTTGGAGGGAAACTTACAACAATCTCTATTAAATTTCAAAAAATTCGCTCAAATGCCATTCCTCAAACAAGCACTTCAGGATACAGGCAGTTGAGAAGTCACCCCTTTGTTTCATTTCCAAAGCACTTTCTGTTCACCGTTCAGACCTCAAGACTGGATAGGTATACCCCAGTGAGTTTATCAAATTCCTGAGGAGGACTGAGGTGTTACCACCTGAAGGACTGTTCCTGGAACAGAGACCCACGGCCAGCACCCCTTTAATGTGCAATACCCAAAGTTCAAGCTTCCCAGAATTCAATGACAAAACTGTAAGTTCATTTTTCTAAACTTCGATCACGATGACTCAGCCTGCCAGACCAGTGGGCTGCGTGTGCACACGTGTGTTTATCTGCTTGCTCACTAAGTCACTTAAAACCAGAGTTCCCCACACTTTCCTACACCCGAATTACAAAGTTACTCATTGTAGTCTTAACCACATGGCGACCCATCATATATTTAGCATCAGCAAGAGCAGAGGGCAATTCTGGCACTGGTCGAGGTACATGACAGTCTTAGCCCTGGCTCTTCTCTGGAGGTAGGATACAACAGGACAGTTACGGAGACATTTGGGGAACACTGGGTAACCTGAAAAGCCCACCCGACATTGGGGCTTCTGGCTGGGGACACAGACGTGGCAAAGGTGGAGGCAGCAGTCAATACCCAAGGACATAACTTTATTGGAAAGGAGGAGCAGGCGTAGGAGTGGACTAGGAATCACACTCTGTGGCAGACGGTGGCTTCTCATCATCAGGAGGACAATCAATGAAGTCAGCCAACATGGCAGCTGTGTCATCTTGTTCCTTTCAGGGACAAAGACATAGATTTAAAGTCACACACCAACACACACAGACAAGCAGGTAAGACTGGAGACAAACCTCTGCTTTAATATAAGCAGCCACCCCACCTCCCGGCTGTCTCGGCGTCCCCGCCTAAAGCTACCCTTCAGGCCTGGTCTGCTCACCTTTTCCTGGAGAGCTGTCACTTCCGTCTCTGACTCCATTTCTCCCACCTCAGAGGTCTCAGGTAGGGGTGCTAACTTATCACTCTCCCCTTCAGTCCCCTCTTCCAACAGAGTTGGGGGAGCAGAGGGCTCCTCTTCAACAAGCTCTTGAGGAGGAGGAGGGCCTGGCGGGGGGCTTCCTCCTTCCCTCTCCACCTCCTCCTGGGAAGGGAGTACCTCGGGAGCCAGTGTGGGGGCCGTCTCTGTCCCCTGCTCCTCCTCTGCCCCCGGCTCCTCCACTTCCAACAGCAGCCCAGGTTCCGGTTCGGGCTCAGGCTGTACCTTGGGGGACTCTGGTGGGGGCAGAGCGGGCGGCAGGCTGGGGGGTGGAGGCCCGCCTTCTTCTACTTCCCCTCCTGTTGAAGCAAACTCCAACTCTTCTACCTCTTCCAGCTCTTCTTCTTCCTCCTCATCTTCCTCCTCTTCTTCTTCCTCTAATTCACCTTCCTCTTCTTCAAATTCTTCCTCAAATTCTTCTTCCTCCTCTTCTTCTTCAAAATACTCTTCTTCATCCTCTTCTTCTTCCTCAAAATCTTCTTCCTCTTCTTCCTCTTCCTCCTCCTCCTCCTCTTCTTCTTCCTCCTCTTCCTCCTCCTCATCACTGCTGTTGATATTAATAACTGTCAAATCTTCTTCCAGGGCTGGAGGTCCCCCCCCACCAGGAGTCCCTTCAGGAACCAACTGGGGTGGTGGAAGTGTCACGGGGCCAGGAACTGGAGTGGGTGGAGGTGGCGGAAGAGGACCAGGAGCTGTGGGAAGCTCTTCAGGCTCTTCCTTGGCTGGCACAGGAGGAGAAGCTGTTGGTGGCCCAGCTGGGGTTACAGGAGGGGATGTGGTGCTTGAAGGGAGTGGGGGCGGCAGGGGAGGCAGTCCCTCGGGCACAATCACCACACTGTCGTCAGAGTCGCTTTCCAAAGAGATCTCCACATCAGATGCCTCCTCCTTATCATAGTGGACAAAGGCTGGTCTGGGCACTCTCCCCCCAAAAGTTTCATCTGGGGGGATAGGTGGAGGAGTGCCACTAGGGGCAAGGACCGGGTCCTCATTTGAGCTTGCCCGGTGGTTCTCAGGGCCAGGAAGGAGTCGAGGGGGTACAGACACTAGGCCTGGGACAGAGAGGCCTAAGTGGTTAGCTGTAACTGGAGGTCCAGGGCGTGTCGGGGGCATTGGGCCCACGGAGGGCATGGAGCCTGCTGAGGGCATGGGGCCCGCAGAGGGCATGGGGCCCACTGAGGGCATGGGGCCCACTGAGGACACAGGGCCTGCTGAGGGCATGGGGCCCGGGGGATGAAAGGGTGGAGCTCTGAATGGAGATGGGGCCTCAGGAGGGGGGACCGGTGTAGACGGAGGGCAGCTGGGGCCCATGGACTGCAGGGGAGGAACCCGGGGATGGGTCAGAGCAGCACAGGTCACCAGTGCTTCTGAGCAGAAAGAAGAGACCTACAAAGAAAGGACAAGCATGAGCATTGGGACACAGGCTTTCATGGGTGAGACAAAGAGCCCACCAGCATCAGAACTAAGAATCCAAAGCCAAAGAGTGGACTCGGCTCCAGCCAGCAGTTACCTCCAGGTTGTCTTCTCTTTGGCCAAGGGAGAAGGCCTGCAAGGCACAGGAGAGAGGAGGCGGGCAGCGAGGAGAAGGTGCCAACAGCAGAGCCAGCAGCAGCCGGTAGAGCTCACGGCGGCAGCGGGAGCTGGTGTACGGAGAGCTGCCCAGGACTTCCCCCTGCTGGACACCCATGACCAGAGGCAGGACCAGATCATGCAGTCTCTGAAAAGGACACGGTGTACATCTGGGACATCCCCAAGACTGCCCAACCCCTCTCCTACCTACTCCCAGGTCTGAATGGACCCACCTCTTGGAGCACACCTACCAACACTTAGAGAACAGCAGCCCCCTCCCCAATTTCCATGGGGACCAGGCTCCACTAACCCTGTGAGTCTCTTCCTTGATAAGAGGACCACACATGAGGATGGCTCGGCTGAGGCCTGAGGAAAGAGAATGGCGGGTAAGAGGCAGCAACCAACAGGAGTCAGAGCAAGGGCTTCTGAGCCACACAGCCAAGGTGAGCACCCTGCGCTGCTAAGCCTGACTTGGGCAAGCCACTGAGCTCCTCTAAGTCTGCTTTTTCAATGACAAAATGAGGATCAGAAAAGAACCTCTACTACACAGGGCAACAGACAACATGCAGGTGAGATCTATAGGAAGTCAACATTATAAATGATCACGTATGTACTTGGGGAGAACTGTTTCCTTTGCAAGCAGGGTGGAATGGTGGGCAGTGAAAGATATAGGACCCAAATGAGTCACCCACTAACTGCACAGGGCCTGGCTAATACCATCTGTGGACAGACCAGTGACTGCTGGGAACAGACTACGGGCAGCGTGCTGTGCGGATGTAAGCTCCGCAGGCAGGGATTTTCTGCCCCTGATGCTAGAGAACAGTGCCCGGCACATACACTGAGTCTGTGCATCAACAAAAAGTGTTTGCTGGACAGAAAACTGAGCGCCTAGAGGGACAGCATAAATGATCACCAGAAAGGCCTCTCCTGCTGCCCTGGTAGTTGCAACACTGCTTTAGCTGCTTCTTTCCGTTTTCTGGCTTCTATGCAGACTTTTAGGTGGTTCCGCATTTTAGCTAGACCCCCCCCAACCCCACCCTTGGCCCCCTCTCCCCCATAACACTTCAACACTGGCATTGGGCTCTCAGCCTAGGCCGTGCCAGCACTAGAGGGTACAGAGCTCAGGCTGACCCACCTCTCAGTGCAGCTGCACACACGTCACTGTTGGCATTGCTATCCCCTTTCCGGTGGCTGGGTGGAGCCACTGCCTCACCCATATCCAGCTTTAGTTTCTTGGGGGCACTGGGCTTCCCGGCCTGCAACACCCCATCAGGGCTCCCTCGGGGACTGCGCAGCTGGTGGTGGAGGAAAACATAAATCACGAAACAGGAAGGCAGGAGACAGTGTCTGGGAAGGAGGCTCATTTGGACAAAGGGCGCAGGAGGAGCACCCCGGGATGGGTGCAGAGACCTCCCTCACCTTCAGGGCATCAGTTGGCGGGGAGATGTCACTGAGCAAATGGGTGAGGAGGGCCTCTCCAGAGGCACCACCCTGAAGCACTCCTGCTGAGGCCCCACAAACCTGCACCCAGAGCTCTAAAACAGCATACACCTTGGTTCTCATGGTGCTGTGAAGTGAGCAAAAAAGGGCAGCTTGTGAAAAGGAAGTAATGTGCCAGGTCTACCTTAGATTCCCTGGCACTTCCTACATCTCAGAAAACCAGGCCCACCTGCAGGCCCCCACTCGACTTCTCTCCCTATCCTTCCTTAAAAGTCATCTGTGGCCCTCCCTGGTGGCGCAACAAATTAGCATGCAGCACTCACTGCAAGCGAGCTGCAGCCACCTCAGTGTGAGTTCAATCCCCGCCCCAGAGAAAACCCACATGATGGCAGAACTCTCCTGGCCCGCCCGCTGCTCCCCTCAGCGGTGTACTTCATCGATCTGCCTGTTCTGCTCCCCACTCTGTCTCGGGCAAATCCTCTCATTGCCCCTGCACCTCTGGCCTGTACCCCAGTTCTGTATGAATAAGTAAATAAATATTTTTAAAAAAGAAAAAGTCACCTGTAAGGTCTCTCCTGGCCTGGAGATAGGGTATCCCTTCCAATGCTCCAGGTATTGAGGACCTGGGGAAGCAGGCGGCTGATCAGGGCCCCAAAACGCAAGAGCCGGCTTCCACACCTGGGGGCAGAGACAGGACAGTGACTGCCATCCTGAGCAGTCCCAGTCTTTCACCACACCTGCCCAAGGCCACTCACGCAAGGATGAGCGCAGAGAGCAGGTCCAAGGCTTCAAGGTGGATAGAGGGCAGGAGCAGCAACCGCAGGGGGCCGTCTCCATGCAAGCTCTGGAGGACAAATTAGCAAGAGGAAGAAACTAAGACACAGGAATGGAGCAGAGTAGATACACATCATTAAATACACGTGTATCCACAGGTAAATCGCTCCCAGCCCCAGTTCTCCTGACAAGATCAATCCCACCCCCCGAAAGAAAAAAATATCACACCCTGGAAGGATGAAAGGAGGGATGGCCACCTCTCTCAGCAAGGACTCAGCCGACCTTGCCAAGAGTTCCTGAAATATGGGAAGTGTTTGTGTGCCGTCAGGAAAGCACCAAATGATGGTTTCTGGACAAAAGTAAGGAGCTATTCAGGACAACCAAAGGAATGACACTGTTTTTGGAGCTTCCAATCCCACAGTGCTTCCCTGGTTGCCCTGACTCTTGATTAAGAGCTGGGAACGAAGAACAAACTCCACTTACAATGTTCTTGGCACTGATGCTGAGGGTCCGGCAAATGACATCTAGGATTTCCTGCACAGGGACGGATACAGGAGCCCCAAACTCTGAGCTAAAGAGAACCAGAGCAGCAAGACCCTCAGCAAGGTTCCCAGCATGACTCCCACGCCCACCCTGAACGTCCTCCCTCCAGATGAAGACAACACCCTCCCATCTCAGCCCCACCTGCTCCAGGCACCCCTGCTCCCTCCAACGTTTACTCACACACCTCAGCATGAGCCCCAGGCAGCGGGCAAGTCCAGAAAACCTCTGCCGAAGCCGGAGAAGGACGTGGGCATCACCATCTTCTGAGGGGGAAAGCAGCGTCTCCACTCCTGGAGCCTCGTGCTGTGTAGGTGCTAGACAGGAACAGAAGCACTTTCACACCCTAGGTCTTTCTTGAGTCCCCTCCTTTTTTCATTTAAGCCACAGGACCTATTTAAATTCTAATTCATTCTGCCCAGAAATAAACTCCCTGGCCTCTGTGAGCCACCCTCCTAGTTCCCTCCTGCCAAGCTTCCCAAACACTTGTCACTCACTACCAACCAGGTCCTTACCGTTTTCGGCTCCCTCATACAGGGCCCCTAACAAGCTGTGCAGGGAGGCCAGCAGGCTGTGCAGCTCCTGCTCCCAGCTCTCGGTGTGTTTCAGGCCCTGGGAAAAGCCAGCCCCTAAAGAGGGCAGCCTGGAATAACACTCACAGGCCAACTGCAAAAGAAAGATCAAAAACCTGGTCAGGTGGGAACCTTGCCCAGCACAGAATCCCTCCATCCCACTGAAGCCAGGAAAGATAGAAATCAAAGAGAACTCTGATGGAAATTGGGATGGGACAGAACACAGATGGAACCAAGGGAGAAGACTCATGTGCATTATCAGAGAAGAACTGGGAACACGGTCCAAATGCAGAAATAGAAAAAAGCTCAGACGAACAGATAGCGAAGCTCGGGCCTCAGAACCCCAAGTTCTCGCCTCCCTCCTTTCCCTTTACCTGCTGGAGTTGAGGGCTCAAGGCATCTACCCTAGACAGGAAAAATGAAGCGAGCTTGCCCTGAAGTGGGAAGAAAGAAAAGAAAAGGTTGGTGAGTCACCTTTCAGGGTCAGAAACAGGCATCCTGTCCATTCTCACAGCAGTATCCAGGTCAAGGCCTTTGCTTGCCTGCAGACACAGGGAGCAAAGCACCCTAAGGATTATCAACACCTGGGAGCAAACATAGCCTGATTATCAGCGCTAGTCTTAACCTCCGTGTTCAGAGAAGGGTCTAGCCTATCTCATAGACAACTGGGCTCTCTCTTAGCAATTTTTTACAGATCAATAATCATCTTCCTCAAGCCAAAAGGACACAGAACACTGAAAAGCACCAGCCCTTTCCTTATTCTCTAGCAGCTTGAACAAGGATGAGGACCCAAAATGAGGATCCAAGCCAAGAGTTGAGGTACTAACCAGAGTGTGAGGCAGGACTAGCTCCAGTGAGGAGATAAGGCTGGCAGAGCAGAACCTCTCAGAACCTGGCCTGTGACCAGACTGCTACATGAAGGTGCTGGCATGAGTGCTTAACCTGGAGTCACTATTTATTTGAAGATAGAATCTAAGGGGCTTATAAATATAGATGGAAAATAATTTTTTTATTGTTTTCACTGACCTGTAAGTGAAATATATTTTTTCCAATTATAAAGGCAGATTAAAAAGTCACGGTAGTATTAGCAATCACCTCTGTCACCAGTGGAAACCTCTTATTTTCATGTCACATTATAATTGCAACAGGTATCCTGAAATATTTCTCATATGCATGATTAATAAGAAACTTTAGTAGTTATTAGAGCTGGTGCTATTCTTGTTATTAAAGAAGCACATACTACTATAGCACAACTTAAAAATACATATACACATTTCAACAAAATCCACTTTCCTTGCAATTCCATATTTTTAAATTTTTTATGAATTTAAAAATTCTTAAAATTCTAATTCTAAGAACAGCTTCATGGCACAAAAAAGGTGAAGAACGTTGAGGCAGACCCCTTCGGTGAGCTATAACAGCTAGCTCAGAAAACAACCTAAAGGTATGCAAAGTGATCATCTGCAGTCCACTCTGGCTCTGAACCTAGCAGGAGGCAGAGCTACTGCTGCTGGGAGGCAGGACCGTGCTGGGCTACAAAATCAGAGATACTCGTGGAGAAACAGTGTGATCTAAAATCTCAATCTTAAAGCACGGATTTAGGGGGACGGGCTCACACACAGTGATCAACTTCCAGAAGACCAACTGGACAGTGCACCAAGCAACTGGCAGAAGTGTGTGGTTCCAAAAGCAACCCCTCAGGACCCCTCTCCTCTAGCCTGCACATTTAATTGCCCACATTACACTTCAGAATAATGCTCACTATTACAGCTGGTCCCAGGATCAAAGACGATCCAGAACCATTTACCTTAGGACCTGGAAAGCACTTTCATGTCTGATATGGGAGGGTTTCACAATGCTTCAAAACCAGACAAGTCACCACCCACAGGTCTAATTCACCAGCTTCCCCAAGGATGGTGTTTCCTAAAGAGTTGCCAAACGCCAGCTATGGTGGCACTCGGCCCTTCTGGCCAACTTACTACTAACATTTTCCCTGAGCCTGTGTCAAAAGCCGGGCTGAGGCCAACAGGAATCTGCTGCGTGACTGCAGCAGAGCAGAGCACCATGCATCCGTGCCATCCGTGCACTCACACCACATCTCTCAAGACTAGGGCTAGTTTCCATTCATCCCAAGGACTATCAGATCTATTTGGCCAGGAGAGGTAAAGTCTACAGGGACTGACTTCAGAGGCACAAATGTCTGAGATACATCATTTGGGAAGAGTAATCCTGAACCTGAAGGTCACAATGGCTTCTGGGAGATGGGACAGAGAACAGGTAAACAACCCAAAAGGGCAATTATCAGTTTCCTAAGAACTTGTCTGCAAGATGTTCCAAGTACAAAGGCCCCTGGGGGCTTCACACAAAATTCTTCTCTGACATGTTGTCAACAAAGTCAAATTCCTCAACAGAGGGAAGCTCTCCAGATAAAGCTTTAGTCATAGAGACGTAAAGGCATACACTCCCAGTAACAACTTACCAAAGTTTTATTGTTTGGTTTGAAAAGGGTACTCAAGATACAGGCCAGAACTTCAGAAAATCCGTCTGACAAAAGACTATATAAATTATTGATGAACTCCCCTAACCACTCATGTGGAAAGATGCACCAATAGCAGAAACATGGCATCCTTATCTCCATGACTATTCAAATCAACTCTGCAGGAAACACTCAATTTGGGGGGCGAGGGGGGGTGCAAGTACATACAACCCCTAACTGCAGTAACACAAAATAGATATTCACAGTAAACCACGAACTTTAACCAATGAGAAATCAGGGACAAAGACCTGTCTACACAATTTAAGAAATTAATTTACAGATCATTTTAGAAGAATGGCAGTTTTTACAAACACAGCAAAACTTCAGTTTAAAAATCCACTTTTAAACTTTACTAAAAGCTTTACTAAAGACTTTCTCAACAAAGTCCTGTCCTGCCTACCCAAAGATTCTATTGCCTGTCATTAGTGGTATTTACACAAAAACAAGAATCAAGATGATACTATGTTGGGTGAGAAATATCATCTGCTCAGGGACTTCTCAAACGCTGCAAGTAGCCAGGTTACTAAAGCTTTAGCAGACACCACTCCCCAGCCCCAGCTATGTGCCCATGGAGCTCCATTAGGGCGCACAATCCTGATGCCACGACCATCAGATCAGAGCTGGCAGTGTTGTTGAAACCTAACTGCCAATTCTGTCTACATTCTTTTTTTTTTTTTTTAAAGATTTATTTATTTATGCATACAGAAATGGGGTACAGGCCCGAGGTGCAGGAGTAGTGAGAGGCTTCACCAGAGATAGACTGGGGAGCAGAACAGGCAGATCAATGAAGTACACTGCTGAGGCTGCTGAGGGGAGCAGCAGGTGGGTCAGGAGAGGTCTGCTGTGCCATGTGGGTCAGCTCCCTGGCTGGGAATTGAACTTGCACTGAAGTGGTTGCAGCGAGCTTCACAGTGTTGTACTTTAGCCCATTGTGCCACCAGGGAGGGCCCTGTCTACATTCTTAACAGGGGGAGGGGGAAACAGGTTTTAAAAGTATAGAGATGTGGCTCACACCTAGTTTCACAATGACTACAGATGTAATCTCAAGCTAGTTATAAACTCATCTGGGCCTGTTTCCTCTGCTTATTGAGGTGACAGCAATTCCACAAAATCACTGTAATGATAAACTGAGACTGACTACACCTCTCAGACACTAGGCAGAGCACCTGAGGCATGATAAAGACTCACTAAATACCAGCTCTTTTTTCTAATTTTCTTGACTTGATCATAGAACCATGTTATCTTACTTTCAAGGTAATCAGAAAGGCAAACTCCCCCAATTGAAATACTGATGGGTCTCCTGCACTGCTTGTGGGAATACAAACTAGTACAACCACTATGGAAAACTGTTTGGAGGTTCCTCAAACTGCTTAACATGGAGCTTCCCTGCAACCCAGCAATCCCACTCCTAATTATCTACCCAAAAGACACAAAAACACTGATTGAAAAAGATACCTGCATCCCCATGTTTATTGCTGCTTTATTTACAATAGACATGGAAACAGCCCAAATGGCCAAAAGTGACTGGATTAAAAAGATATGGTACATATACACAATGAAATATTACTCAGCAATCAAAAAAAACCAAACACATGTCTTTTGCAGCAACATGGATGGAGCTGGAAAAGATCATGCTTAGTGAAATAAGCGAGAAAGAAAAGGAAAAATATCGGATGGTTTTTCTGATAGCAGGAATATAACAGACAAGGTGAGAAAATAATGATAATGATGAACAGCCATATACCAGAGATATTTTGTGGGGGTGGAGTGGGGAATGGGATCAAAAACAGTAGGGGGAGGGAAATACAATGGACTATGGTGATGGCACATGGGTGATTTGGTGATGGGAAACCCAACGGTATTGCAACTGAGATGGAAAAATGCACAAAATGATTTAAAAATAAACTATTACATTATTAAAAAAGAAGAAGAAGAAAAAATACTGACGGGTCAATACAGCTAACTACTTCAACATACCAAAAAAAAATTAACTTGCCATTAATCCCAGTTCTCTACAGATTTGTGCTTCCAGAGGTGTAAGAGGATGACCAAAGTCTGTCAAGCAATGATGAATATATAACAAAATAAGAGAGAACTGGTGTTCTTAGGTACTAGTTGGCATCAATTATACTGCAAATAATAAATGTGACAATCATAAATGGTCCTTTAACTGTAACTAGTTAAGCAGCATTTGTTAATCATTCGCATCTGTTAATCATTCGCATCTGTTTCTGTTATCTCCTTGAAAATAAAACTGTAACTCATTCACTGACCACCTCCCTCACCTGATTCAAACATAGCCTGACTAACCTTTAATATATAGGCACCTTAGGTGGGTCATGACAGCTTAGAGGAAAGGTTCGGAAGTGACACAGGAGAGAGAAGTGTTGGAAAGGTTGCAGGAAAGTAAAAAGTTAGAAAGACTGCTTGGAGGAACTTACTGAGATAAGATGGTAAAAAAAAAAATGGACAAGACACTCTAGAGGTCAAGAGAAGGCAAGACAGAAAGAGAAAAGAATCTACGGTTAAAATCCTGTGCTTTGATATCAGACAGATATAGGTTCCAATCTCTATAATCTCAGGCTATTTCTTTATCTATGAGGATTAAAAGAATTGTACCTAAAAAAAAAAAAAAGAATTTGTACCTACAAAGTGGTACAATTATAGCTGTGGAGACAGATACATTTGAAAGGGAATCAGAAGATATGAGTTTAAAAATCTCAGCAACAGAATCTGAGGTTAAGACAATTATCAAAGATTTCTAACAGTGGAAAATTTGAATGAATTTTACTTTGAATACTTACTTTGAGAGAACCACAAGCCCGAGGAAAATAGGTCATACAAGCCTTCATGCCCTCCAGTGCTGAGAGCTCACACTGTGGGAAAAACAGCAAGTCAGGAAGAAATAATAGCCCAATGCCCCCCAGTGCACATCTCCAACCCCACCCATGTACCTTTTCTTGGCACTCCCCTCTTCTCACTTCTTTAATCCAACTCCCCAATCATTGTCCATCACATCCTTAATCTATGAGGAACCCAGGGGGATGGAAGAAATATCTCACCTCTGGTCTGAGGCCTAGCAGGGAGGTGAGAAGGCCAGGGAGGTGATTCATCGAGATGTCCCGGAAGAGTGCAGGAAGCTGGGCAGCATACCGAAGCAGGTCCCTCAGGACAGCCACAGCCAACTCCATTGTGGGGGGTGGGTCCTGGGACTACAAAACAACACCCCCATGCTTCTAACCTTACCTTCATGGTCACCAAGAGGAGGAACAAAAGGTATGACAACATGGGGCTTTGAGAAACACCAGGGAATGTCACTATTACTATCAAGACTACTAAGAAGAATGCACAATCAAGATATGGAGTATCTAAAAGCATACTTGTTTATAAAAAGGACATGTGCTTATTACTAGTATTACAACATATCTGGGATTACCCCTTAAAGATCTGACTAACTGGCAGATCTCAAGAGATTTTTGATTCTCCCATTCCATATTTCTCTGCTAGGAATGGAAAAGGATGTATCAGAAATAAAACTAAAAAAAAAAAAAAAAAAACCCTCTCAGTCACAACAAAATCACCCATTTCTCCAAGTTTGTTTCGAACCAGCTCAAACCTACCTGAGAACTCATGAAGAAAAAATGGTTGAATTTAGGACTTCCTTAGAAAATTAACATGTATCTAAGGAGAAAGCATTTAGATCACACCTTCTGCTAGACCAGTGGAGGTCACATGCCAACAAAACAAGAAGAAAGCATATTAAGAAATAAAATAGGTGAGTCTACCAACTACAAATGGATCCTCCACACTGTCCAACAATGCCAATGCTCATAGTTCTTTCACTGTGTTCTTTATATTCATCATTTCTTCTTGAGTTTTTAAAAAGATTTATTTATTCATGTATATAAGAGCTGGGGTGGAGGCCAGAGGTATGAGGAGTAAGAAGATTCATGAGAGACAGAGTGGAACAAGCAGACTGACTGAAGGGAGCAGTGGTAGAGACAGGTCTGCTGTGCCATGTGGGCCAGCTCCGTGGCTGGGGATAGCTTCACAGCCAAGAGTTAACTCCTTACACCACCAGGGAGGCCCTCTTCTTGAGGTTTTTTTATTAATAGCTTTAATAATTTGGTTAAGAATTCCTTCTGTTCCTAGATATTTTTCCTGATGTCCTGCCCTGCCTGTGTTTAACTGTAAATCTCAAACTTCACCAAGATTCTTCACAATTGCTACTCTGAACTCTATGTCTGCTAGCTTCCCCAATTCTGATTCATAACGCTTGTATTCAGTGCTGTTATCTTATTCTATAGTGTTCCCTTGATTAATACTCTTGACACAAGTGTTATCCCCTTTTCCCCAGTAGGTGGTACTGTAGCTTTAGTTTCGGGCTCCTCCTTGCTTATCAAAGTGGTGGAAGAGGAAGTGTGAGAAGTGAGAATACAGACATCTTAAGTAACAGTGAAGGCTGCTGGTAGGGGAAGCACACAAAAGCTAGGGAGCCTGTGCTGCTGTTCTTCAAAGCCCAGAGCTGCTTCCCACATCCCTGTCCCAATAAGGTGGAGAATCCACAGTTCACAAATTTCTATCCAGCCCCAAAAGAACTCACTCCCAGAGGGGTGAGAGGATGGTATTCTGCTGCTGTCCAGCATTCAAGAACTAATCAACCTTTCTCAGAGTTCAATCAGAACCATTCCCCAGGACTAAGTGTTTCACACTCACTGCAGAGGTCCTCTGTGCTGGCCTGGGACTCTAGCTTGTTCTTACACCCAGAATGTCCAAGGCTTCCTTCCCCTCTTCCTGCTCCAAAACCTTAGCAAGTAACAATGGACCCATCAGAAAAGTGTGTGGGTCAATCCAGCAATGTGAGTGATGAGTGGTGAGATTTATGTCTGGGTGATGTTTGTTTCCTCAGTTGTGCTTAAGGAGAGGTTTGTCAGCAAGTACCCTACCACGCTGTCGCCCCACCTCCTACCACTGTCATCTCAAAACCTTACATTGTTAACTTCTGCTGGATTGCCAACCAGTCCTTCTCAAATGGCTTCTTCCTATTGATATTTATACATGGGAAATGTCTCCCATTTTAAAAGTCCCTCTGTTAAGGGGGAAATAATAAATAATATAATAAACTATATACCAGAGACATTTTATGGGGGTAGCATGGGGAATGGGATAAAAAATGGGGGCGGGGGAGTGCACTGGACTATGGTGATGACACATGGGTGATTTGGTGATGGGAAGCCCACAAGAATTACAACTGAAATGGAAAAAGGCACAAAATGATGTCAAAATAAATTATTATATTTTTAAAAAGCCCCTCTGTTAAGCCTATACATTTGTCCAAGCTCAGTCATGAAACGATTTCTCTCCCTTTAAAAGACTGCCTATGTTCCCTATTTCTAGTCCTTCTCATCCCGTGCCAATTGGCTTCAATGTCTACTGCTCCACTAAAAACATTTTCACTAGTCTTATATCCTCTGAGTTTCTAAACTTGATAAGCAATTTTTAATCTGTCTTACTCCAACTCAGACGGGCATAAACAGAAAAGAATCCTCCCTCTTCCCAGAAGACCTTTTCCCTTGGTTTCACTCAACCGAAAATCCTCATTACCTCCACCCTGCTGCTCTGTCTACTTTGTAAGCTCATCCTCCTTTACCTGACTGTTAAATATAGACTGCCATGTAGAGGACCTGTCTTGCTAATCTCATCCTCATCCTCAGTTCCAACTGCCATCTACATGCTAAAGAACTCTCTCCCTTTGTAAAACATGCAGACCGAAGTCCCCCATGCACTCAACCCTTGGTGTTACTGAGATAGCTGGTCACTTCCATCTTGCCAGATCAGGGTATGCTTACCAGCTGGGCTTCACTGAAGGCCCAAGGTCACAATCCTGGTATTTCCACTCCTTCCTTCGAACCTGGCTGTCTTCCCATCAGAAATCCTCCTGACTATAACTGACTCTTTCTGACCTTATTTCAAACAGGACCTCTCTTCTTTTGAAATCCATCTACTTGTCATCCACTACAGTGACTTCCACTGTCACTACTCTAGTCCAAACAACAATAAATGTTTTTAGTTACTTTACTTGCCTTTTTCATGGTCTTTCTGCTTGCATTCTGGCTTCTTTATCACCTTTCCTCTATTCAGCAACAAGTGATATTTTTAAGTGTAAATGTGATTTTGTCACCAGCACTATGATCCCCTCTTCCCTAAGTAAAACTTTCCATGAATGCTAATTATCCCAAGAATAAAAACAAACTTCTTAACACACTCACCAGCCATATAAGGCTGGGTCATCATCTACTGACACCACAGCCACATTTCATTAACCCCAGCCACACTAGCTCACTTAGAAATCTTCAAATGGGCAAAGCTCCACCTCTCTCATAGCTTTTGCACACATCGAATACATTTTTATTTTAAGACTTTTTTTTATTTATGCATACAAGAACTGGGATATAGACCAGAGGTATAGGGCATAAAAGGAGTCACCAGAGATAGCGTTGGGGAGCAGGATAGGCAGATTTGCTGAAATATACTGCTGAGGGAAGCAGCAGGGAGACAGGAGAGGTCTGCTATGCCATGAGGGTCAGCTCCCTGGCCATGACTGAATTCATGCTGCAGTGGCTGCTGATAGCTTGACAGTGCTGAGACTAACTCTGGTGCCACCAAGAAGGCCCCAGCACTCTTAGAAAACATTCTTAACCCAATTTGCTCCTACATTGGAGTAAAAGCCACCTTGATCACCACCATACACATCAATTTCTTCTCACATGCTCTCAGAGAAAAATATTCCTTACTTCATAGCACCTACTTCAGTTTATCATGTCACACTCTTTGTACAAATATTCAATTAAAGTCTCTTTCACTAACTAGAGTGGGGATCAGCAAACTATGGTCTATGGGAACCTGTTACTGCATGACCCACAAGCTAGTAATGATTTTTAGTTTTGTGAAGGGTCAGGAAACAAACAATATGCAACCATATGAGGCCTAAAATGTTTCCTAACTGTAAACACTTCATAGAAAGTGTCCTAACCTTTGCACACCCAAAGCACCATCAAGAGTCCAAGGGCCTCCCTGATTGTGCAGGGATTAAAGACTCATGCCATCAAGCTGTCTGCAGTCACTACAGCACAAGTTCAATCCCCAGTCAGGGAGCTGACCCACATGGTGCAGCAGACACCACCTGTCTCGCCTGCTGCTCCTCTCAGCAGTGTCTTTCATTCGATTTGCCTGTTCTGCTCCCCACTCTGCTTCTAGTGATTCCTCTCATTCTCTGCACCTTTGGCCTACACCCCAGTTCTTGTATGTACAAATAAATAAAATACGTCTTTAAAAAAAGAAAGGAGTCCAAATACATCTTACCAATGTCCCATCAGAGTTTAGCACAAAGTCTACCACATTTTCTCAGAAAACGCTGTTAACAATTAAGTAGAAACATCACTGGAGGATGTAAAAATGAAAAAAAAAAAAAAAGTAAAACATTATGAGTAGAAGGAATACACACACACAAAAATCAAAAACCTAGAAGAAGGAACTGCAGAGATGCCACTCATAAGAAAAAGAAGGAAATGAAACTGTCAGAGGTTAGTGTGTGAAAGGTCAGATGAATGAAAATAACCCAGAAGATAAAAATACCAATAAGTTTAAAAAGATGTTTCTATTTAAGGCTTATCAGGAAACTGCTTATCACTGGGTCCTTGGAACGAAACACCCACACTTCAGAGAACACACCACATCCAAGATGAAGAATAAGAAGGGCTGGGGAAGGCAGAGAGATGGGCAGCAGCTCAGCTGATTCTTACCTGCAAGACCTGCTGAATGCTTCGAAGCCAAGAGACACAGTGCTGCTGGAACATCTCTGTGGGGCTCTCCCCTACCAACAGGGACAGCAGACACAGGCCCTCAAATCTTAAACAAAGAAAGCGAATGATGACAAGCAGGTGGAGGCTAAGCCAGAGAAAGTGACTACCATTCTCTTACTCTCGGTGGGCTAGAGCAAGACGTAACCTCTGAATCTACTGTGGTTTCTAACTCCTCCGATACTTTGAGGACTTTAAGTGAGGTGCAGGCAGCAAACAAAGAAGAAAATTGAGGTAATCACCGCGAGGGTGTAGGAAACTGAGGAGTTGGAATAGGTTTCACTCAAGTGAGAACACAAAGGAAATGAAACTCTCCACCTTTTTGAGAATGGAGAAGTCCCTTAAATCCATGTGTGTACCAACAGACAGACAGCGGTACAGCCCACTTCCTAAGGAAACATCCCCCTGGAGAAAAAGCAGTTAAAGACTTACCGAGTTTTGATAGAACCGAGACGCGCATTACTGAGAGCCACCAATGCCCCAACAGCTGAAAGGTTCTGGAGGAAAGAAAATAAGGAAGTATGTCAGGAACAGGATGCAAAAAACACAGAATTTCTCCAAGTCCTTCCCTACAATGGCATCTGTGAAGTCTTTTCTGAAGTCACACATCTTTTGAGGCCAAATGATAATTCTGCTAAAGGAGCACATGCTGTCCCCTGGGTTTCAGGGGTAGCGTACACAGCAACCTGTCCATAGGCTCTCCTCGGTTCCCCGAGCCTGACCCCTTCTCCAGCCTCCCACCCAATACATTAGTGAGATAGAGTCCAACTTATTCCAACTACCAGTCGTCAAAGATAGATCTGCTTCACCTCTGTATCCCTGAACAATATCTAGCATCAAGGGCACCACCCATAAATACCTGTTGGATGGACACTGAACTCATCTGTAATCTTTCTTCCTTCACCTCCAAACAAATCCTAGGTTCCTTAGAGCTATCAAAAATGCCAATAAAAACCTAGTCAACTAAGCCTCTTTCCAGCCCTCTCCCTCACATACAGAGGCCCTTAAAGAGGTTTCCTCCTCTGTCCTCTCCATAAGTGACCTCTCAAGACCTGAATGGCCAGATTACTGTCACGGTTCCTTTATCATCCTAACTGTATTCATCACTTATTCAAGAAACACATATTACATACTGAGTTAGATAAACAAATACAGGGCTGAAGATAATACTTACGGTCCACGCTCTCAGAGGGAAATGAAATGTTCATTTGTTTTTCATGTGAGACATTAAGGTGCAGGGGGGTTTATTTATTTAGTTAAGTGTTGATTTATGCACCCAAGAGCTGGAGTGTAAGCCAGAGGTGTGGGGGAGAGAAGGGCTGACAAGAGGATTCACCAGAGATAGAGTGGGGAGGAGAACAGGCAGATCTAATGAAATACACTGCTTAGGAGAGCAGTGGGTGAGACAGGCAAGGTCTGCTAAGCCATGTGGGTCAGCTCCCTGGCCATGGATCTAACTCGCGCTGCAGTAGCTGCTAACAGTTTCATAGTACTGAGACAACCCCTTGTACCACCAAGGAGGTTCCCTTCAGGGGAGTTTATATCCTAATTAGAGAAGACAAGATAAACAAAAACCAAGTAAGTATGTTAGATGTTAGAGCTCAGTGCCATGGGGAAGAATGAAACAAAGTAAGGAAGGAAAGGAGTGCCTGGAGTAGGGAAAGGACATAATATTTTATGTGGAGTGGCACGTAAAAAGGCCATTTGAGCAGAGCTAAAGGAAAGTGAGAGCAAAACAGTGATTCCCTCATAAACTGACAAATGTTAAATGGTGCAGCTACTGTGAATAACAGTCTAGTAGTTCCTGAAAAAGCTATACAGTGTTAACTTGTTGCAGCACTTCTAAAAAAAGGCCAAAGAGAAATGAAAATATATGCTCTTATGAGAACATTAATTATAGCATTATTCATAACAACCAAAAGGTGGATATCACCCAAATGCTCATACACTGATGAATGGATAAACCAAACTTGGTATGTCATACAATAGAATATTATTCAGTCATAAAAAGGAATAGAGTTCTGAGACATGAATGAACCTTAAAAACATTCTAAGAGAAAGCCAAAGCAAAAGATCACAAATCGTATGATTCACTTATATGAAATAGTTGGAATAGCCAAACCTATGAAGATAAAACAGTAAATCAGAGGTTGCCTAGGACTGAAGGAAAGGAGGAACTGAATGTCTACCCGTGGGTAGTCCTCCTACAGTGATAAAAATGTTCTAAAACTGATCATGGTGACCACTGTACAACTGTTAAACTAAAAAACCCTTTAAAGGGGCAATTTGTAGAGTATGTAAATTGTATTTCAATAAAGCTGTTTCTTAAAAAGATACCAGCATACTAGTAACAAAAAAATGTGTCCCAAGCACATTAACATATCTGAAATGGAACTGTTGTCAGAGAAGAGCAAGTGAGAGGAATGACAAAAGATGAACATCTGGTAGTAGGGTCTGACTGCAGAGCCACATACAAGTCAGTTGACTTTCACTCGAAATAAAAGCCAGAATGGGAGAGGGGAACCAGGCAGAGGATTGCTCTTACCTGACTTAGGATTTCTTTCTTAAAACACAACACACGAGTTACCCTTTGAGAAGCAGGCAGAACTAAGTAGGTGGCTATGGTAATAGCCTGGGAGGCGCATAATACAGCTTATCCCTTAGTAGGGATAGAAAGCAGTCAAATTCTGCATATATTTGAAGTAGAGCCAACAGGACTTAATGTTAAGTTGGAGATGAGTAGGAGATAAAGAAGCAAAAATAATTCCAAGGTTTTTGACTTGAGCAACTAGAAAAATAGAGTCACCATTTACTAAGACAGTGAATACTGGAAGAGGAGGAGGTTTTCAGAGTGAGAACTAGGAGTTCAGTTTCAGATATGTTACATCTGAGATGTTAACATGAAAATAGAGACTAGAGATGCCAGGCAAATGCTGTGAAGATGAGCCTGCAGTCAGAAAAAATCCTGGTTAGAGTATATATTTGGGAATTATCAGTCATGAGACCAGGTCAGCTCACTAAGGAATTAAGTCGAAGTAGAGGAGGGAAAAACAGTATAAGAACTAGGTTCTTGGGCACTCAAACACTACATGAGAAGGAACCAGTAAAAATAAGAGATGGCCAGTATGGTGAGAGAATCTAACCATAAAAATCTAATTAGAGTGGAATCCCCGATAAACAAAAACTTTACAAGAACAGTCAACTGGAGTAAACGCTACACATGGGTGAGGTAAGATGAAAATGCAAATTTACCTTACATTTAGTTATTTTAATGGTCATCGGCAACCTTCAAGATTTACCATAAGACCCAGAAAAGGGATGCTTCAGAGGAAGTCTAAGTGAAATTAATTCTGTGAAATGACCATCACAGTAATAATTTATTCAGGAAAGAATCTTTAACAGGCGCTAAAACAACTGGGTGAAAGTTGACAAGGCATAGACTTTTATAATCTCCCCACAAGACATACATTAATTACTAATGGGAAAAAAATCTGATGACTACAACGAAGTAACCTGTCTGACACTACCTTATGCCTGGTGTCAGCTTATCATCACTGGTAAGGGACAAAGAAACATTACATTAATATGATATACCAAAATAACACATCATCTTTACTGCAGTATTTCCTACCAAAAATACACAAACACTAAGAGACAGCAGACAAAACAAACTGAGAGACATCCTATAAAAATAATTATCTTGGGCCCTCCCTGGTGGCGCAGCGGGTTAAAGCACAGCACTAAGAAGCTAAAGCCACTTCCGCATGAGTTCGATTCCTGCCTGCCCCGGAGGTGACCACATGGCACGGCAGACCTCTCCTGACCCGCCCGCTGCTCCCCTCAGCAGTGTACTTCGTCAATCTGCCTGTTCTACTCCCCACTCTGTCCCTGGGGAATCCTCTCACCCTCTGCATCTCTGGCCTGCATCCCAGTTCTGTATGAATAAATAAATAAATCTTTAAAAAAAAAATAATTATCTTGTACTCTTCAAAATTGTCAAGACAAGACTAAGGAATTACTTCTGATTAAAGAAGGCTACATGTGATCCCACATTGAAATCTGGATCAAAGATTTTTCTTTAGCTATACAAGATACTTTTAGCAAAACTAAGTAAGATCTATATATTAAATGACTTATTATATCAATGTTAATTTTCTGACTGTGATGACAGAATGCGGCTAAGAAAACATTCTTGTTTTTAAGATATACACGCTGAAGTTGTGGAAATAAAAGGGCATCATGCAAGCAACTTACTCCTATATGGACTCAGAAAAAATAAAGAGAATAATAAAACAAATATTCCTTTTAATTGTTGACATTGGGGAAGCAGAATGAAAAGCATACAGAACTTGTTTGGATTATTCTTTCAATTTTCTATAAATTTTAAGTTATTTTCAAAGTGATAAAACTTTTAAAAGGGGGAGCAGAATCAGCAAGTACAAACAATTCTTTTTGTTCTTTTTGAGAAGTGTTGCCATTAAAAAAGGTACAGAAATGGAACAGTTGGAAGGGGGTTTTCTTAAAGGCAACTTTGATCTGTGTAATGAAAATAACCCAACAGAGATGGAAAAATCTGGTGAAGAAGTGGAGAGCAACTGTTGAAGTAGTATACTTGCTGAAAGAAGAGGATCTAGACCCAGCACATAAGTAGAGTTCGCCTCAGCAGGAACATGAACCAGCTACTCCCTAGAGGTGATTCAGAAAGCAAAGCATGTGGACGCAGGCACACACACAATTGTCTGATAAAACAGTTAAATGACAGGACCTCCAGACAACACTATGGAACCTCTTGGTGATGAGGACCACGAATTAAAAGTGAGACCAGTCAGCAGGGATAGACTTTTCCTCCAGCTATCCTGAGTTGTACAGGTACACAAGAATATGGATGGATTTAAAGTATTACAAGGCACATACAAAGGGCAAGAGGCAAGGAAGTGACTTTAAAGGAATTTAAACTAGATCAAGAGGAAACAATATGACATTTCTTTCAAATAGGAATAACTGCTAGGAAATAAATAAAGCAGGGTAATGTGACAGAGAATGAATAGAATAGGAAGGAATGTTATTTTTAGATGGAATAATCAGGAAAGACGCCTCTGAAATCTAAATGAAAAACTCACCTTCCCATCAACTTCACTGCAGAGTGAAGGAGATTACCTTTAGTAGCTGGAGCACAGTTAAGACAGGGAATCATAACAGATGACGTAGAAAGGTAAGCCAAGGCCACAATATATAGGGCCTCTACAATAATAAGTTACTGTATGTTTTTAAGCAGCAAAGTGAATTTAAAGTTGAAAAAATGTAATGGTTTTAAACAGGACATAACCTTATTGACGTTTTTAAGAAGATCACTGGCTACTGCTGGCAAATGGAATAGTACAAAGACCTGGGAACACAAGGCAAAACAAGACACCCTGTCCTTCAAAGCACATGTAGTTATAGGGAAAATGAAAGCTGGGTTTGCTTTAAAATGCTCCAGGGAGGGAGGGAAAAAAGGGCAGAATTGGGAGGATGGTAATGAAGCAAGATTGTTAAAATATTTACTGTTAAATGTGGGTGATGGGAACAGCATAGGGTGGGGTGGCTTCAAGATGCTGTTTACTCTTGTGTAATCTGAAATTTTCCCCAAGTTCTTTTGAATTATGGCCAAAACCAAAACAATCAAAGGCTAGTGTGGGATGTACTCACATGTACAGTGAATAGATAATTTCAATATCATGTACTGAAAGGATGTGGGGGGGGGGAGTGAGAAGCAGAACAGGGAGGGATTCCAACCAGACAACAGTAAATACAAAGGCAAAACACCAGAAGGCAAAACAGCCCAAGTACTAGAGATTTTTTGAAAGTGACAAATAGAATCAGAATTTTACTGTAGAAAGCTCACTCCAGCTCCTTTGTGGAAAATGAATTTTAAAGACTGAGTGGCCTCTCTCAGTTAAGTCCCAAAACTAGAAAGTTATCCACAGCCACAACAGCATGAGAGCTGACCCACATGGCACAGCAGACCTCTCCTGTCCTGCCTGCTGCTCTCCTCAGCAGTGTACTTCGTTTATCTGCCTGTTCTGCTCCCCTCTCTGTCTCTGGTGAATGAATCCTCTCACCCTTCATATCTCTGTCCTGCACCCCAGTTCTTATATGCATAAATAAACCTTTTTTTAAAATAGTAAAAATAAAAGACTGAGGCAGGGAGACTATTGCCATTAATTTATGGCAGGAATTGTGAACAGTGGTAAGGTAAATTAACTGTGGGAGTGTAAAAGAGGTGACTAAGCTTTGATGAATGATCAATAAATGAACTAATCAAGCTTCATGTCTATTTATTTACCAACTACACTAGAAATTCTCCAAAGGGAAAGATTATGTCCTGTTTTTCTACCTAGATATGAGAAATAGTATATTAATACACAATACTCAATAAGTGTTTGTTGAATGAGCAAGCAAAGGACTCTCCACATATTAAGAACCCATTACAAGAAACGCAAGTAGAAAAAAATTCAAGGCAGGATATAGCCAACCATGTGGTACAACAACAATAAAGAGGGATTCTCACATCACTCTTAGCTTTAATCAAAATTCTACTACACTTTAGGTATGTAAAGAAAATAAGAGGTTGAATTAATTGTAGCTTACCTGAGGGAGGAGGGGGAGTCTTGAAAGACATGATGAAAGAAACAATACATTTACAGACAGACTAGATATTTCAGAAATACTTAAGAATCCCATGAATTAGAGGAAGACGTTAAGAGAGTAAATAATCAACTTCTGCTTCTGAAACTGGCATGAGATAGCAGAAGTAGTTTTGACACCCTCCAATATAGAGTAATTCATGTTAATAATTGATAATAAATGCAGTCATCCCTGGTATATTTGGGGCTAATTCTCCTGTCAGGAAACATAGCTTGGGAAGATCCCAATAACAAATGTGGGTAAAGACCTCACCTGTGAGTCCTGAAGAATGGGTATAATCGGAGGGAAGGTTGGGAGGAAAGGATAGAGGGTGAGAGACAATATTATAGAAGCATCTACCACAGGTTAGCATATTGTACCTTCACCTAAGCAACACACTGGTGTCCAAGGCAGGATGAGAACAAAGATATGGAAAGGAGTGGGCAGAGCTACAAACTACTCAGAGGATAAAATCAACAGGAGGTGGTAGGCTGCAGATGAAGGATCGTGAACAAAATTAAAGTGTTTAGGATGATGCCTGAGTTTCTAGCTTTAGAACTGAATGGATGGTAAGATTATATATAGTCTTAATATAAGACTGTACATATTTTAAGCACTGTAAACTGTCCACCTCACCAGCCTCCTTGAGGGCATTCTTTTGCCCTCCGCCTCAGCCCCAGGCACAATGCCCTACCTATCTTCCCACCACAGAGGCTTTTCCACATACTATCTGCCCTATTTTCCTTCCCTACTCATCCTTAGGGCACAATACTAGATCCTCAGTGAAGAGTTCGGTAAATATCAGTTGAATACGTCATTAACTCGGTCGAAACAAGGCCAGAAAAAGAGTGATACAGACAAACGCTGAAGATCATATAAGAGTGTCGAGGCCTGACACTTAATCCATTCACGTGAATACCAGTGGCCTAGCAATGAGAAACCAAGACTCACTAGCCTCCTTGAGTTTCCACTTAGGGAGGAAGGAGAAATGCGTGACTGAACCGGACTGCTAACAGGACTTGCTTTCAGTCCCCAGCTCTCCGTCCCTCCGACTCCCTACAGCAGTCCCAGTGCACCGCTCCCCCAGCGCACAGGTGCGGCGCCAACCTTCCCAAAGGGCCGCAGGCACGCGGGCCACAAGACTCACCTGGGCCCCGCCCACCGTCCCATGCAGCCGCAAAAGGCACATGAGCCCGGGCAAATGTGGGGCCGAACGGGCTGGAGGAGGCACTGGGGCAACTGTGGACCCTGCTCGGGGCTGCAGCAACCCCGACACGCTTTCCAAAAGCAACAGGCGGAGACGTGGGCCCGAGCTGGCGGCCGAGAGGCCCCCTGTCCCGCCGGGAACCCCAGCCGCGGAGCCCGCAGAGGGCCCACTAAGAACGGCTGCCGCCATCTTCACCCGGGCTCTGGTGGTGGCGTGGCGCGATGACGCAAACACAACGCGACAGTTGCCTCCAGGGGAGGGGGCGTGAGGAGAGGGCTGTGATCCTGCGCGGTGGGTGAACCGAGGCCGGACTGTGGCCACTGACTTGGTAGGAGCATGCGCAGGGTGGAGGGGTCAGAGCGGCGGGCCGCAAGGCGGCGCGGCGGGTAGCTCGTTCACCCGGTGTAAAGGGCTGACGGGTGAGCGGGCTTGGGGTGGGCTTGGGGTGCGCTTGGGGTGGGCTGGGACGTTCCCGGGGTGCTTAAGGAACACGTGGTCAGGACAAAAGGCGCCTGCATCCGACAGCTATCCGCTAAACTAACAGAGTCTCTGGAGGCTCATAATCCAGAGTTCTTAGAGCAATGTTTGAAATCATAGACATTTTAAACTTCATTTACAACTATAGGGATGATGGGATGCATGCACCTCGCGAACACAGATTCCAGCAATACGGAGAACATAAGTAAAAGGAGAAGAGCATCTCTCCCCAGCGACTCCCCCAGTAATGTGTATGCTTTACTAATATTTCCCAACGCACTAACACAATTTATTTAACTTAGTTTATTTTATAAGAGCCTGGTCTGCACTTGCCTGCACTTTTTTTTTTTCTCTAGAAAGACGTGGGCACGTCTGCTGCTTTTTAAAGCTTGCGTTCAGTGTACCAAGAACTGGCTGCACGGTAATTTATCAATTCTAGTGCTGTTCCAGTTTTTCACTAATGCAAACACTTCGGCGAACACCCTAATATCTCTATCTTTGTATAATCCAAGTGGAGAATTCTAACCTCGGGTAGAGTCCACAGATTTTACTCTGAAAACTGCTCAATCATAGTTTGAGTTCAGTTTCTGTATCTTGTTACGAAGTAACACGCCTACAAAAAAAAATGGAAAAATGATTCCGGGATTTTAAAAAATGTAATTATTCTTGTTAGGGGGCTCCCAGTTTTCAACTATAGGTTTATAGGTTTAGAGCTTTTAATTTCCTAAATTATCTTGACCTAAAGAAATGTTGATGCTATCTGTGCTGAGGAGAACAAATGCTGCTCCTGTAACTGGGTGGTCCCTAGGAGAAGGGAAGTTCCAGGTTCCCTGCCCCACCC